TAGAGAGGGATATAGAGAGATAGAGTGAGACAGAGAGAGAAAGAGAGAGACAGAGTAAAACAGAGAGAGATAGAGAGAGATAGAGGGACATAGAGGGAGAAAGGGAGATAGAGAGCTCCCTTCAACACTCGCATCCTCTTTCCAATACAGATTTTCATATGGGAAAGGCTGGATCAGTAGCAACCCGAGGTGTCATGGCGTCTGATTCTAAAAAAAATATATATATATATATATCTACATATCTTTCCTAACTGTCAAGCCAGGTACGTGGGTTAACCTTACGATGGATACGTCTCCGCATATAACAAACTAAAGTCTTTTCGAAATGGACTCAGGCTGCGTAGAGCGCTCCGTGTCCCTCTATCTCACTCTGACAGAGAGAGATAGAGAGTGAAAGGAGATAAAGAGGATAGAGAGAGATAGAGAGAGACAGAGATAGAGAGAGAAGAGGAGATAGAGAGGATAGAGTGAGACAGCGAGAGATAGACAGAGTGAGACAGAGAGAGATGAGAGACAGAGTGAGATAGAGAGAGATAGAGAGAGACAGAGTGAGACAGAGAGAGAAAAGAGAGAGACAGAGTAAAACAAAGAGATAGAGAGAGATAGAGTGACATAGAGGGAGAAAGGGAGATAGAGAGCTCCCTTCAACACTCGCATCCTCTTTCCAATACAGATTTTCATATGGGAAAGGCTGGATCAGTAGCAACCCGAGGTGTCATGGCGTCTGATTAAAAAAAAACAAACAAACAAACAAAAAAAAACAGTGTTTTTTTATGACGTCACAAAAGTTACGGATGCTTTGTGAATATGGCCGATCATTTTAGTCTCTTCAGTTTTCAAAAAGGATGGAAAATAATTATTTTAACGGTTATATTTTCACTGAACAATCATCAAAGCAAATGCCATGGCACCTCGAGTTGCTACTGATCTAGCCTTTCCCATTTTTCCCATATGCTGTACCGCCTCCACAGCAACCACCTTGTCCACTCGTTAGGCTTGTTTACGCACCCTTGTTGGCCAGTCTACAATTCTTCAATTCCCATTTTATTACCATTTTTCCACTCTCTCTCGTTTGTATATCTTATTATTCGTGTGCATGTGTGTTTGTATTGTATTCTTGTATTATGTACTATTGTTTTTATTTACATTATTTTTTACATTTGATCTTCACTAAATGTATTCAAATTAGAACCACATTTTCTACTAACTGCATTTTTTATTTTATTTAGGTCAATTAATTACAACACTGGTGATGGAGATTTGCGGTCTCCGAAATGTATACAAATCAATATAGAGTTCTTTACGGCCGTCTTAGTCCTATAGCGACGTGCATAACAAGCAATGATGGCAAGACAACATTGGATATATTCAGGACTGCACAACTTTCTTGAACGCTCCAAAAAGCATATCGTTCCTGGTGTTTATTTTATTTATTTATTTATTTATTTATTTATTTATTTATTTATTTATTTAGAGAGAGAGAGAGAGAGAGAGAGAGAGAGAGAGAGAGAGAGAGAGAGAGAGAGAAGAGAGAGGAGAGGGAGAGAGAGAGAGAGAGAGAGAGAGAGAGAGAGAGACAGAGAGAGAGAGAGAGAGAGAGAGAGAGAGAGAGAGAGTAAGAGAAAAAGGAAACTGAAATTACTGAAAACTCAATATGATTCAAATGTACTGAAATTCACGCTGTCGTTGCTTGAGTATATTTGTATTTCTGGACTGATAAAAAACCAACGATGTTCGCAAAAATATTCATATGCAATATTCTTAGCAACAAGCTTCTACAAATAGACACTGACGTCATGGATAAAGTGGATAAAAAAATGTAATATTCAATTTCCCAGACAAAATTATATTTGAAAAACAAAAAGATAACTGTGCAGTATTCAATTTCCTAGAAAAAATGTATATCTGAAAAACAAAAAGATTACTGTACGTCTTCGACTAAGGTTACTTCTCACAAATTCCACCTGGATTAAAAAAAAAAAAAAAAAACTATGTGGAAAACTGATATTTACAATCACAACAACAAAATTACCAACAACACAGCAACCTCAACCAACAACAACAAAAAAGTCAAAGTTGGTCCCATATCCATCTGGACGTAAGGGACATGTTTAGTAGAGAAACATGCTTACTAAGCCGCGGGATGATGCGGTAGGCTGGCCAGTTCCTTCCCGCCTATAAGAATTGTCCGAAACCCGACCCAATAAATATTCACATCTACCCACATATTCATATTCATATTCATATATGCATATCTGTCTATTCATCATAGGTATACATTTATCTACGTACCTGTCTGGTAGATATGCATGTCTAGACTGATAGGTATGTATTTTTATCTATGTATAGGCATGTCCTTTGTCTAATTTCACTCTTCCTGTAACATACTGGACCATACTGTAAACTAGCTGCTGGTTTGTTAGAATTGTTCGAGGTATACTTGACATGCATAAATAAGGAAATAAATGCATATTCATCAGTCTAGATATGCATATCACCCGGGCAAATAGATAAGTGTATATCTATCAGATATATAGACAGATATGCCTTTATTTCTGCATCTGTATTTTTTATATTCATTGGGTCGGGCCTGGCACAATTATAACAAAATGGCCGCATGATTTTGATTCCAAAGTCTTCTTATCACCTCCACAGACGCTAAAAAATGACAACATAGCCATCAGACCCGATTAAGGGCGTGGGGTTGACGCCTTAAACAAAAACGGGAATCACCACAAACTGCTCAGTATTCTCATTTAAAATTCTGGTTCCCGAGCTTTATGGTTTCCCTAAACTGCGCAAACCAAACATTCCGCTTAGACGCATTGCTTATTCTATTGACGCTTTCAACTGATTGCACACACAACACACACACATACATACATACAGACAGACAGACATACAACACACACACACATACATACACACATACATACACACACACACACACACACACACACACACACACACACACACACACACACACACACACACACACACACACACACACACACACACACACACACACACACACACACACACACACATATATGTATATATATATATATATATATATATATATATATATTATATATATGCATATACGTATGTGTGTGTATATATATGTACACATATGCATATATTCCACATATCTACATACACACACATTAGGTCGCACAAAATAATCTAACACGCTCCGCCCACTTTACATATTTGTTGACGTCACGCTCTTACTTAAAGCGTTTTAAGCAGGGGAGCGCTTGGCAAGAATTCTTGCCAAGCGCTGTACCGTTCCCTGCTTAAAACGCTTTCCAAGGCAGGCAGGCCTTCTTCAGTGATGCCAGACATGTGGAAATGTCTTTTTATAAAGTACAAATCATAACAGTCCTTGATGAGCATAGAAATATCAAAATAACACACAAAATATCCATACTTGGGTTTTAAAAGCAATATTCCCACCAACAATCTCGGAAAGAGATAACTTATGCACGAGTCGAGGGTGGAGTTTATTTCACCTGCGGTTGGTAACAGTTTGAGCGCGCAATTCAAAACAATTGACAAGCTAGCGCCGCATCAAGATGGCAGAGAAGTAAATAAATCTACCCAAACATCTTAACAAAGCACTTTATTTTCTCCTATATTCATATAAAGTGCTTCTAAAACAATGACACACACTTTATATTGACAGCCCTTTCATTCTGCCGCGTTTTCAAAACAAATGAATATCCCTGAATTAAAATATAGGCCTACCCATTCCCATATATCCGATTTTATGAGGTTAAATATAACAAATCATCGAATATAATATCAACAGAAGAATGTTGCTAGAATTTCTCAGACTTTTTCACTTGAAATATTCTATATTTCATAAAATTGCAGATATATTCTCGATTTAGAAAGACAAGAAGTTTAACAATAAGAGGAAAATTGTTCGTCTTATAATAATTTATTATTCATAAGTAAAACTTCTTATTCCCATAATCTCCATTATCTCCTTTTGTTTTCAGTTAATTTCAATTTCTTTGAATATGATTTTAAGAAAATTACAGAATCAGATACCGTGAAAAAATTATTTATCTAATAAGATATTAAGCGGGGTTCCTGGCCAACGCCCGCATTCGAAGGATCGTGACCAGTACGGTACGCGACCGACGCCGTTGCCATGGTGACGGTACACCGCTTGACTTAGCAAGCGCAAGTCAAGCCATCTACGGAGGTCGCTTGAGAAAGCAAGCGAAATGCTTGAGTTAACAAGAAAAACGCTTGAGATTTCAGGCAAGAACTTTCCCTGCTTAAAACGCTTTTAGTTAGTCGTGTTAACTTACCTTTAGTTCACAAAAATCTCAAAAGCCATTCATAACTTCGGCCATCAGCTGGGACCTGTGTTTACTGCTTCCATGAATGAGATGGGGTGAAAGAGAGAGAGAGAGAGGGAGAGAGAGAGAGAGGAGAAGGAAGGGAGGGAGGGAGGAAGGGAGAGAGAGGAGGGAGGGAGGGAGGGAGGGAGGGAGGGAGGGAGGGAGGGAGGAGGAGGAGGAGGGAGGGAGGAGGGGAGGGAGGGGAGGGGAGGGAGGGGAGGGGAGGGGATGAGGGAGGAGGGAAGGAGGGAGGGAGGGAGGGAGAGAGAGAGAGAGAGAGAGAGAGAGAGAGAGAGAGAGAGAGAGAGAGAGAGAGAGAGAGAGAGAGAGAGAG